TTTATAAGGGGAAGAACTACTACCTTAAAATCTCAGCGTCGTAGTTTCTGAGGTTTCCGAGTTAATCCTCGAGCGAAAACTTTCGTGTATCCATACCTAAGAATTAGGCGTGCGTAGGGATTGAATTTATATGCGGGCAGAAGCATTATTCTGAAAGTTCGGCTTCCTAGCTTGCATGGTTCTTGAGTTATTAACTTTGGCGCCGAAAATTTTACGTGTCCCTATGTAAGATCTAGGCATGCAAGGGGAGGGACTGATTTTCTTAAAACTTCAGCCTCCTAGCTTTTCTGGTTTCCGAATTAATTTTCGCGCCAAAGTTTTTGCGTATGAGTACGGTGAGACACATGTATATATGAGGGTTGAATTTACCTTTATGGGTTCACACGTAGGCAAGGAACATCTCCTAGAAATTCAGCTTCCTAGCTTCTGTGCTTCCTGAGTTACTAATTTAGGCGCCAAAACTTTCACGTGGCCGTAACTGAAACCTCCGCGCACGCGGACGAGATCAAATGTGGACAGGGAGTTCTCCTCAAAACTTCAGCTTCCTAGCTTCTCCGCTTCCCGAGTTGGATGCACTCGGAATACACGCACACAGACACACATGCACAGTTAGAGTCTCGGCAATATGCGTTTGTGCAATTGTTGCAGCGCAAAATGCATGACCGAGATATAACAGTGCTGATGATGGCTGTGCATCACAGAAACATGGAGGGCTGGATACGAAGAAAGTATTCCCAAGCATCAAAGAGTTGTCAGATGACCTTTTCTTCATCACTTTTACAATTCACTGCACTATCGCAGCCTCACCATTTTACATTGGTAGCTCATCAGTTTGCATCATCAACTCGATTGCTGAACTTCATTTGCAGCCACCTTTAGTAAAAGTGGCGTATAAGTCTTCATGAGTTTCTAGGTCACTGAATTCTCAAACATACTTTTCGATTAAAATCCGGAGATAAGCTCCAGTTTGCTCGCTCGCTTATTCCCTCGCTTGCGCATT